ACTGAGATGCTTTTTTCACTCCTCAAAACAGTTTTTGAACTCATCAATTTTGATGCCTTTTAGTGCTGCTGCCATTTTTTTGTTTCACCTCTTCCACATCGGCAAAACATTTCCCTTTGAGAACCTTTTTCATCAGGGAAACAAAAAAAGTCACTCAGGGAAGGTGGGACATGGGGTCATGCTGTTGTTGGTCAAAAACTGCTGAACTGAGTTCAGCATGGTGTGGACAGGGGTGCTCATAAATCACCCATCATGAAATGGGCAAACACACTGAAAAATGCACTTAAGTCATATGCAGCTTTTCACAAAAACACTAGCTGGTACACACTGATGCCCATTAGTTTCTAGAACACTTACCTAGTGGAGGTCAATGAGATAATCCTGGGTTTTGAGAGGTCTCCCAAGTATATGATCAGCTGATTTATGACTACGATGACACCACAATGCAATAAGGAATGGGTATCTTTTTGATAAATGATGCTGGGTCCTCTGGATATTTATATGAAAAAATATGAACCTTAATCTTTACCTCAGACCATATACAAAAATCAATTCCACATAAACTGTAGATCTTTCACAGTATTTGTATTGCTATTTAATGAACCACAGATTTAAATGTGAACAGTAAGATAATAAAAGTTTTCAGATGGAAACTTCAGAGAATATATTAATGACCTTGAGGTAAAGATTTTTAAAACGGAACATAAGAAGCACTAGTCATAACTGTGGGAGGGGATTATAAATTAGATTACATTCAAATGAAGAACTTTAAGTCATCAAAAGACAGTCTTAAGACTGAAAAGATAAGGCACAAAGTGAGAGGAAATATTTGCAATATATTTGGCTGACAAAAGAGTGTCATCTACAATATATAAAATAGTCCAAGTCAACTAGGAAATAAGGCAAGTAAGAAAATGGGCATTGGCCGAGTGTGGTAGCTCAAATTTGTAATCCCAACACTTTGGGAGGCTGAGACAAGTGGATTACCTCAGCCCAGGGGTTTGAGACCAGTCTCGGCAACTTGATGAGACCTCGTCTCTACAATATATCAAAAAATTAGCCAGGTGTGGTAGCACGTACCTGTAGTTCTGGCTACTTGGAAGGCTGAGGCGGAAGGATCGCCACAGCCCAGTAGGCCAACACTGGGATGGCTGTGAGCATGCCACTGCACTCCAGCCTGGGAAGCAGAGTGAGACTCCAGCTCAAAAAAAAAAAGAAGAAAATATGGGCATGGCCGGATAGCCGGGTGCAGTGGCTGATGCCTGTGATTCCAGAACTTCAGGAGGCTGAAGCTGGAGGATTGCCTGAGTCCAGGAGTTTGAGACCAGCCTGGGCAACACAGCAACACCTCACCTCTACAAAAAAATCAAAAAATTAGTTGTACATTGTGGCATGTGCCTGTAGTTCCAGTTACTTGGGAGGTTGATACAGAAAGATCTCCTGAGCCCAGGAGGTCAAGGCTGCAGTGAGCCATGATTGTACCACTCTACTCCAGCCTGGACAATACAGTGAGACCTCAACTCGGGGAGGGGAGGGGAAGGGAGGAGAGGGGGGAAATGGACAAAAGAGTAGACCAAGGACTTTACAAACAAGAATATTCAACTGGAAAATAATCATACAAAAATGTACTTGGACATCCTTAGTTATCAGGAAAACACAAGTTAAACCAAAGGAAAATACCACTATACAGATACCAGAATGGCTAAAATGAAAAAGATAGACATTGCTAACTGTGACCAAGGATACAGAACACTGCTATTAGAAATGTAAAACTGGTATAATAACCTAGCACAGTTGAATATTTGCATACCTTCTGATCCCAAAATTCCAATCTTCGCTAGATATCAACAGAAACACATACATATGCTCACAAAAACACATGTACAAAAATATCTGTGACACCTCTGTTAAACAGCCCTAAACTGGAAACAACTTAAATGTATACCTATAGTAAACCAGACAAATAAATTATGGTCTACTCATGCAATGAAACACCATACAGCAATAAGAAAATGAACACTGCTACATACCAATGAATGTAACTCACAATCATTATCCTGAGGGAAAGAGACTACACACAATAAAGTACACACTATTTGATTCTATTTTTAAAAGTTCTAAACCATGCAAAACGTATCAGTGCTGTTCAAAGTCAGACAGTGATTAACAAGGTGTGTGTTTACGTGGTGGTTTGGGGAGTGGGCATGGTAAAGAAGGGCTTGGGTGTGTTTCTGGCCACGAGCGATAGTCTACCTTTTAAAATCATGGGTATGTTCACTTGTGAAGATCCCTCAAGTTTCACATCTCTGTGTATACATATTATACTTCAATAAGAAGTTTACTTTTTTAAAAAAATTCCTGTAGGGACACCTCAACATAGGTGAAGAGACAGAACTTTTACTGGGAGGACTAAAGGGATTAGAAATAGAACTGGGCTAGAATATGTATTTTATTTGTCTACTAATATTCCAGTTTCAAAAAGTCAATGCCTAAGAACAAACCCAAGCCTACTTCCCAGTCCACAGACAACTTCCTCAGTCTCCTAAGTTCTTTAAAAAAACAAGTAAAGTAAGCCACCAGTCTGGAGAAAATATCAAATGAATAGTTCAGGAAAGCTTTCACTAGATATTCTTCTCCACTCACAAGACTGATAAGCTCTGAAAGATCTTGTGATAAAAGAAATATGATCCTTGCACATGTAGTTTCCTGCCTTGAAGTCTAGAACTAAAGAAGCAAAAGTAGTCCCTGCAGCCGACATGTGTAGGTCACCAGGATAGTAGATCACACAAATGTGGGGCCAGACACACAGCTGGCAACAAAGAGGATGTATCCACCTAGAGCTTCCTCCTTGTAATATATATTTCCCAAAAAGTCTGAAGAGGTGATGGCAACAGTAGTCACCAGGGTAGGTAGTTCATCAAGGTCCTGAGATCTACAACCTAGACACACACTGGCATGATTAATGAGTCCAGTATCTCATTTTGTTTAATAATAAAAGCAGTTTCATGCTGTATATATGTAACAGCTAAGATAAAAATTCTTATTTAATATGAAATAAATAATTCCTAAACTTATTTGAAAAGTATATAGTGATGTATCAATGCATTATCACATGTACGGGCTTACTGAAGTAAACTTACACAGTATGACAGCAAGAAAGTTTGTGAATCTGTAGAAACAACCAGCATAGGGAGTCAAGAAGCCTAGCATAAAAACCTGGCATTTAGCAGACATATAATAAAATGACAAATGATCTAGTTCTGAGGGACTTTGAGCACATTGTTTCTTCTCTCATGTGTTTCTTTATTGCCAAAATAAGGCTGTAATGCCGAATAAGTGAGTTATTACATACAAAATGCTTAGAACAGTCCTTGGCACAGTCAGTATTAAATATATAGTAGACACTATTACCACATATCAGTCTTGGTTCTGTCACTAAACTCAGGTGTAATCTCAGAGAAGTAATGAACCATGCTGGAATTCTATAAAATGACAAGGCTAGCAATGGATGGTCTATAGCTCCCTTTCTGCTCTAAAAAAATATTTATATTTCAGATCTCAAAGGTGTTACATTAGGAGACGATTCACACACACACACACATACACACACACATTAAGACTTTAAATATTGCCTCATTAGCCGGGCTCTGTGGCTCAGCCTGTAATCCCACGCCTTTGGGAGGCTGAGGTGAGTGGATTGCCTGAGCCCGCGGGTTCGAGACCCACCTGGGCAGTGAGACCTCATCTCTACAATAAATCAAAAAATCAGCCGGGCGTGGTAGCGCATGCCTGTAATTCTGGCTACTTGGAAGGCTGAGGCGGAAGGACCGCCGGAGCCCAGCAGGTCGAGGCTGCAGTGACCGGGAGCGGCCACTGCACTCCAGTCTGGGCGACAGAGTGAGACTCCAGCTCAAAAAAAATAAAATTAAATAAATAAATAAATAAATATTTTCTCATTTTCCATACTACAGTATACTACAGAATATACACCAAACATACTTGTTGGGGTGGCAGGGTGTGGTCTATATGAATGTGATTGAACATTTAAACTATCAGAGACCATAACATGAACACCTATTTAAAAAAGGAATATACTCAGAATAAAGAAACGAGCCCTGGTTGAGAATTAAAAGTTTGTTCTGCTGGCACTGCTGACAATCTTTAAACAATAAGTTTTTCTTCTCTATGTTGAAAGACATTCATAAATTGAGAAATTATTCATAAATTGAGAAAGGCTAGGATAATCACTAGATCCACTTGACACTTCCTTTACTTCTTTCCTTCTAAACTAGAATGTTGTCAATTATTACTGTGCCTAGAAAACCAAAAACTACAGCACAACTGTGAGAACAGTCCAATCTCCCAGCCTAAACAGTCCCTAATCTGAAGGGAGGTGACAATGGCACCAGTCTTTTAGATGGACCCACATTCACTTTCAAGAATCAGCAGACTCTCTTCTGTCTCTACTTTCTGGAACAATGTATAGTCAACACCACAGAGAAGGGTAGGAAATGGAAATTAGTTCAATATATGCACTGAGCGCTACTTTTCTCATGTAATTACACAATAACAGATACACATGTTTTAATGGTCAACATTTATTCAATGTCTGCTATATGAAAGGCCTAGTGCTAAGTACTTTTAAGACACTATAAAGCAAGAAGACAATTTTAGGTGATTTCCAGGTAAGAAAATTGTTGAAGGACTAGAAAATAGATGGCTAAATTCATGTCATTACAGCCAAAGAGAAATTCTTGCAAAAAAAGGACAACAGAAACTGAATTATTTAATTAATTATTTTAAGGAGGGGAAAAAGTGGAAATTTAAATTTAAATTCTGATGTTCACATCAAGAAAGTAATTTACTCTTAATATTCCCAAGTGGTTTCCTTATAGTCTTACCTTTTTATTTCAAACCTAATTAGGAACAAAAAACAGAAACTTGCCTAAAACATATAATTAAAAGTTATTTTAAAAAACTAAAAGCTAAAAATCTCTTACCTGAGCATGAAAATTGGACATAGTCGTTGTCTCTATATCTTTCTTTCCCAATATCTCCATTTTCACTGGTGAATTGGGAAAATTAAATGAAAAGTACTCTAAAAAGTCAGGTAAATAAGTAGCTGCCCCATGAACAATACCCATTACATAGAAAGCGGCAGAGTTTTCGTTTTCACTGAACACTAGACCCACAAACTCTTCTGCAAACCTCTCCATCTCCATAGGAGACAGGTGGGAGAGTTCATTACTGTAGGCATGGATAACTGATGCACCTCCATTAGGCTGATGCTCAATATGAATGAGCTGTTTGAATTCCAAAGTGTCCAACCTTCTGAGGTTATTCTGAACTCGTGGCTCCTTTAATGAGACAAATGGAAACTCACTGTTATCTGGAATTTTGGAATCATAGTTCTTTGTATCCAAATTCTTTCCACTGTAATCCTTTATGTTATCATTTAGGATGCCTTTGGCTTCTTGATCTTCAACATCAGATAGCAATCCTGAGCAGATGGTCTGAATAGATTTGCTATACATTTTTGGACGCTTCCGTTTTTCATTCTCTTTGTGTTTCTTTTTCTTTTTCTTCTTTACCTTTTTAATTTGTAAGTCTTCTACATTTGTTTTTGGTTTCTCCTTCCCACCTGTTGGAAAAAAATTTTGAAGCTCCATATTTTAATTACTTAAAAAACCATGATTTAGGAATTGCTTCCGAAACTTCTGAAAATTGAGAGACGAGGGAATGCAACATGAAGGAAATGACATAAGAGTTGTCTTTAAAGGATGGTTAGGGATGAGTTTAGACCTGAAATCACTTCACTCCTAAGTGATAAAAAAGTTATTTTTTCACTAGGGTACCTGTATAAGATATTCCTTCAGGATATGGTATGAGTAAAACAAATAATTTTTATATTAGTGTGAAACTATACTTCTTTTCCATATTGTATCCCCCACAACATTCAGTATACTTCTACACATGAACACTTAATTAAACTATGAATTAAATTATCTGTCTCACCAGACTACTTGAGACTTAGTTTTCTCCCTTCTCTCCCTTTCAGTCAAGTTTTTTCACATATGAATACCACTAAATTCTACCCCTGAAAACAACAACAAAACTTATCAAGTTGACAGCAATTCTATAAAAGTTTAATGTCAAGAAATTACCATTTCTGAAACTTCATAAAAGTGATAATTCATAAGTATGCAATGAAGACCAAATTTGTAACTCAATAAAAAGAAAAAAAAATCAAACTTTGTCAACATTACATTATTCATTGCATAAGTTTGTACAGTCATAAGAGACAAAGTGTTAACTCTCTAAAGAGTCTATCTGTAAGTATTTGAGAAAACTATTTGAATGTTAACAAATTCATATTTGCTGCCTAGGTATGATCTATCAAAACATCAGATTCAGGTTAACACCTTAAGAACAAAATTAATAACAAAAAAATAAATAAAACAGCCTACTAACCAAAAAAAAAGATGAAAGAGGCTTATATATGTAAGCAAAATGCAAAAATATAAAATGAGGAAAAAATAGATAGTAGTGCAATTCAAATAAGAATTTTTAAAAATTCTAAGAGCATAGGTGTGATTAATAGCACTCCTAAACCCTACAACTGAAATACACGTAAAACTCACAATTAAATTGTACAATTGTTTGCCAAAAATAAACACAATTTAGTTTGAATGAAAATATGTTTAATATCCTATTATACTTATGTCTAACACATAAAAAAGTTAGGCACACAAAAATGTAAACTAGACCGAGTGCAGTGGCTCAAGCCTGCAATCCCAGCACTTTGGGAGGCCGAGGTGAGAGGATTTCCTGAGCCCACAGGTTCAAGACTAGCCTGGGCAACTTGGCGAGACCTCAACCCTACAATAAATCAAAAAAAAACAAAAACAAAAACATTAGCCAGGCATGATAGCATGTACCTGCAGTTCAAGCTGCTTGGAAGGCTGAGGCAGAAGGATCACCTGAGCCCAGCAGGTTGACGCTGGGGTAGTCGTGGGCATGCTACTGCACTCCAGCCTGAGCAACAGAGTGAGACTCCAACTCAAAAAAACTAAAACAAAAGATGTAAACTAATAAGAAATCAATTAAGAGATTCTGATATTCAGCATCAAGGAGTTATATTCCCATGGCAAACTACTCTGTAATTAAATACTAAAGTATCACAGTTCGCAGAATAAATAATACACCTGAGACTGTTATCCTTCGACAGGTCCATCTGCAGAACTGGCTCTTGGCTGGCACCTGGGAACTTGTATTTTGGGAGGGTTCTCACCATCCCTGATAAGAGTGATTCACTGTGCCTAACCAGTTTGTGCAAACAATACAGTTTATGTTGAATACTTGTTTTCCTTCTGGGAGTCTGGAATTCTGGTTTATGCTAGGTAGACAGTGCCTGTGTGACCAATTGCCAATAAAAACCCTGGGCAATGAGTCTCTAGTTAGCTTCTTGATAGACATTTTACACGTGGTATCACAATCTACCACCACAAGAATTAAGCACATCCTGTGTGATACTACTGGGAGAGGACTCTCAGAAACTTAGGTCTGGTTTCTTCCAGACATTGAAGCATGTGCTTTTTCTCTTTGCTGATTTTACTTAGTATTCTTTCACTATAATAAATCATAGTCATGAATACAACTAGATGCTGAGTCCTGTGAGTCCTCCTAGGAAATCACAGAACTTGGGGAAAGTCTAGGGACTAGAAACAGGAAAAACTAAACCAACTGAGGCACTAGCATTCACTAGATAGACTTTAAGAGTTAATATAATTTCTCACTCATTTCCTATCTCTACATATAAAATGCAGTAGGTGAATATGCAGAAAAATTTTAAATACTTCAAATAAGACCATTTCAAATGTCAATTTTCTTCTCTTATACTAAAGTACACATTAAATTCCCAACTCCCAACAGAATCCAATAAAGGATCCTGATGCGTACTTAGAACAGAAGGAAGGGAATTGCTGACCAAATAATCTGGACCTTCAAAAAGTATAAGATTAAAAGTGTAGGCCAGGTGTTGTGGCTCATGTCTATAATTGCAGCATTTTGGGAGGCAGAGACGAGGGATTACTTGAAGTCAGGAGGTTGGCTTGAACACTGTAATTCAAGGCTCCAGTGAGCTATGATTGCATCACTGCACTCCAGCCTGGGTAACACAGTAAGACTCAGTCTTAAAAATAATAAATAAATAAATAAATGTATAAGGTTAATGGGGGACCACCCTTCAGAACCGTAGACACATGCACGTAGCAGAAGACACCCACACCCATACCCACACCGGTACACAGAACCAGATACATACATGCAGAGTCAAGCCAGAGATAGAGCACCAGACTAAGTAAATCAGAAAGAGAGAGATGCAGTCACATACAGTCAGAAAGAGACAGAAAAAAAACCACATACAGAAACAAAGATAGCATGTATTGTTAATGGCTATTATGAAAAAAACTTTTAAAACTCACAAATTCACTGACATTAATTTCTATGACTAGCCTTAGTATACTTTTTGTGTTAATAAAGCGAAAAATAAAGGTTACTGAGAAAAACTGAATATAATCTAATATCTGATAATGGGAATCAATATATACAATTTTATTATCAGACATAGAAAAAAGCAGCAATTAGCTTAGCTATTTTCAACTACTGTCTTTGGAGAATGACTGTGCTTTTCTCACACTGCAATTTTGTCATTCTTCCTGCCATGATTTACCTACCTGTGACCTATAGTAAACTACCAATAACCTTGGACACCGGCTTCTTCTAACCCCCATCCCACCTGCTCGCAAGCAAACTTTTTTAATATGCTACAGTGATAAATTTTATTCTCAAAAATACTATAATCATAACATGTACATTCTTTCAACTTATCGTTAATAAACAACAATAAAGTGCCTGGAACTTACTGTGTATGCTCAGAAAATGTACCTGGCAAACTTTAGTATAAAAGGATGAGACTCACCAAATAAGCCTACGTTTCAACTTTATTTGCTCCTTTAAACTATTTCTAGATGGGCACGGTGGCGCAAGCCTGTAATCCCAGCACTTTGGAAGGCGGAAGCAAGAGGACTGCCTGAGCTCAGGGGTTCGAGACTAGCCTGAGCAACATAGCAAGACCTGTCTCTATAATAAATCAGAAAAATTAGACGTGCATGGTGGCACATGCCTGCGGTTCCAGCTACTTGGAAGGCTGAGGCAGAAGGATCGTCTGAACTCAGCAGGTTGAGGCTGTGGTGGCCGTGAGCGTGTCGCTGCACTCCATTCTGTGTGACAGAGTGAGACTCTGACTCAAAAAATAAATAAATAAATTCTAAAAGAACAAATAATCCAATTTTATCCATGGAAAACTATTTACACGATTTTTACATCAATAAAAAACATTTTAGCATATATATAATTGTGTATCTATCACTAGTCATACAAAAACTTGACTTTTTTTTTAAGAAAAACCTGAAGGAAATGAGACTGCTGTGGGATAGTCAGCATCTATTTTAGATTTTCAAATGCTACTATCAATCAATGCCTGTGTATGCCAGAGCTTGCAACATTAGAACTACCAGAATAAAAAAATTATAAGGAGAGAATAAAAGTTGGAGGTTATAAAAGAAAAAGGGGCACACAATAGTAAATAAAAGTATAATGCCTCCATCAAATTGAATCATTTGTTGCTCCGGGACACCAATAACAAAGGATGCCTTCCCCTGACCACAGGCTCACTTGGGAAACTCTGCAGGCTGAGCAAATTACTTTCTCTGGATAACAACAATAGCTAATACTCAGTACTTTCAATGGGACAGGCACTGTTTTCCAAATGAATTGTATTGTTATTCACTTACTTATCTATATGCTAGATACTGAGAAGATAATCTGATTTTGTTGCTTTTTAATCACAAAAGTCAGTCTTTCATACATGCTTACAAGAAAGATTCAGATTTACTTATTGAGTGTCTGTGGGTCTGATACTATACTCAGCACTTACTTCATCCTTTCCCTCATTTAATCTTCACAACACTGTAAGGCAATAATTACACTATTACTTAGTACTAATATAAATGCATTTTCCCTACATGTTTCCATGGTCATCCCAGAAGTCACAAGTTAATTTCCAAATCTACTAGTTTCAGTGTAACTCAGTTAAAAATGTTTCCTAAATTTCTGTCTCTGAAGTCAAGGTTAACTTTGTATATTCCTAGAAAATCTCCATGTTTAGACTATTTTCAATTATGTAATCTCTACATCACATAATTCACATTATGTTAGGAATCTTGTATTCAATCAAGATCACATGAGCTTTTATAAAGTATTTGTGAGACATAAATTTATCCTAAAGTTACAGAAGTTTTGTTGTTGTTGTTGTTGGGGTTTTTTTTGACAGAGTCTCACTCTGAGAGCAGTGGCATGATCCTGGCTCACTGCAGTCTCAACCTCCTGTCCTCAAGTGATCCTTTCTTCTCAGTCTTCCAAGTAGCTGGAACTACAGACGGGTGCCACCACGACCAGCTAATTAATATTTTGATTTATTGTAGAGACAAGGTCATATTCATGCCACCTCGCCCATCTAATTGTTTTTACTTTTGTAGAGGTGAGGTCTCACTATGTTGCCCAGGATGATCTAGAACTTCGGGTCTCAAGGGATCCTCCCAACTCGGTCTCCCAAAGTGCTGGGATAACAGGTGTGAGCCTTTGCACCCAGCATTCAAGTGACAGAAATTTATATCACTGTACATTCAAATGAATAAGAAAACAACTACTGGATAAAATCAGTAAAACATGACTATTTGACTAAGCCAAGGGTAAAGTTAAGTAAACGTTTCAGGCATTAATCATTAGCTGCTGTGTTCAGCACTAGCATTAAAATCAATTCCTATCTCAGAGGCTTATTAGACAACACAGATAAAACACACTGGCAAAAGAAAACAGAACAAAAGGATAATGAGCATTAACTAAGCTGCATCAACTTAAGCTCTGAAGTTTCTTCAAGACTGTAAGAATATCATACAAAACTAATTTCTGACATGTAGAATATAGAGTTACATAGCCAGGTATGGTGGCTCATGCCTATAATCCCAGAACTTTGGGAGGGTTGCCTGAGTCCAGGGGTTTGAGACTAGCCTGGACAACTTGGCAAGACCTCGTCTCTACAATAAATCAAAAAAATTAGCCGGGTGTAGTGGCACAATCCTGTGATTCTAGCTCTTTGTAAGGACGAGGTGGAAGGATCACCTGAGCCTAGCAGGACGAGGGTGCAGTGGCCATGAATGTGCCACTGCACTCCAGCATGAACGACAGAGGGAGATTTTGACTCAGGAAAAAAAAGAGTTTATATAAAGTACCACTAAAGAACATCTGAAAACATAACAAAGAATGAAATAAAAATACAGTATAATACTCTGCATATTGTAAGTAATATAAGCAAATCAGTTATTTTGTTGCACATACAGAGCTATGGCCTTTTCTTTCTTGCACAGACATAAAGGCTTATCAAGATATAAATTCAATATGAAATGAATCAAGGTCACCATATTCTAATCAACAAATGTCAACTCAATAGGACAGCTAATAAATTTGTTAGCTGTCTAGCAACGAAATGCCACTGTTGTGCAATGGCACACTCAGGGCCACCACAGCCTCAACCTGCTGGGCTCAGGTAATCTTTCCAAGTAGCTGAAAGGCGTGTGCCACCATGTCAGACCAATTTTTTTATTTATTGTAGAGGTGAGGCTCACCATGTTGCCCAGGCTATTCTCAAAAACGTGGGTTCAGGCAAGCCTCTCGCCTCTGCCTCCTAAAGTGTTGGGATTACAGATGTAAGCCACCACGCCTAGCTTTTTTTTTTTTTGAGTCAAGTCTACTCTGTTGCCCAGGCTGGAGTGCAATGGTATGTTCACGGCCACGACAGCCTCAACCTGCTGGGCTCAAGCGATCCTTCTACTTCAGCCCTCCCAAGTAGCTGGAACTACAGGCCCGTGCCACCACACCCAGCTAACCTTGCTGTTTCAGTGAATGTAAGACTGTACTTGCTTGTAGAATACCATAAATTCACTCCTGAAAAGTTCAGATTTATTGATAGGATTTGTATTAAACTTATTACCCACCACCTACTCCCAGAATTCTTCTTTCCACCCAACCTCCATGTATAATCAGCAACTGAATACAGTTGTAATAGAGAAAAACAGAAAACAAATGAGGACATTCTTTTTTTTTGAGCTTGAGCCTCACTCTGTTGCTCAGGCCACACTCACGGTCACTGTAGCCTCGACCTGCTGGGCTCAGGTGATCCTTCCGTCTCAGCCTTCCAAGAAGCAGGAACTATAAGCATGTACCACCACACCCAGCTAATTTTTTGATTTATTGTAGAAATGAGGTCTCACCAAGTCTCCCAGGCTGGTCTCGAACCTGTGGGCTTGGGCAATCCTCCCACCTCGGCCTCCCAAAGTGCTGGGATTATAGGTGTGAGCCACTGCACCCAGCCTGAGGATATTCTTAAACATACAAGAAACATACCCCATTTGATTTAACTGAGAGTACAGTAGTCTCCCTAAATCCTAGACTATGATATGATAATGAGAGCTAATTATTTTTAAGATGATCACTTCCTTCTTCATCCCTATCATGCTAATAATTGCTTCAGCAATTTCTAAAAATTTCTTCCCTTCATTTGAGATTATCTAAATATGACTAAAACTAGTAAAGCAAACAAAGAATTAGATAACTTACTTTCAAATAATTTAAGAAATCTAGCAGTTCCATGAAGCTTAACTTTTATGACATTTTAATGGCTCACCAGATAAACATACTAAAGATGTGCCACCATGCAAATTAGAACTTCCCACCATTATATTTACTTTCTATTTCCTCATCAAAATTCAGCACTAGAAACCATTTCTTATTTTATTCACTTAGGCAATAAGTACACTGAACAGTATAATTAAATAGAACTAAAATTATTGAGTAAAACTTACTTTTCAGCAAAATCTTGACTTCTCCATTCTCTTTCTTAATCTCATTCATTACTTTATGTTTCTTTTTTTCTTTCTCTTTGTCTCTCTCTTTAATTTTGTCTTTGATTTTATCTAAAAGTCAAAACAAAGAAAATATTTAAAATTATTATAATTTTATTTAGCTTCATAGCTGTAGATCAATTTCTAAAACTACAATGCACAAAGATCAGAATAAAAAACTAATATGCCTTTTTCTTCTTCTTCTCTGGTTTTGACAACTCTTTTAAAATCTCCTTTCTGACTAAACATGAAATATATACTGTCAAAATCTATCATTATACATTTTCAAATTCAAAATATTCTTCACTTATTTCATGCAAGCCAAAATATTACACTTATTTCAAATCACTTAAAATAACTGGCTAACTTTAATTAAAGAAAGTTATAGTGGCAAAGTGCTATCACTAAAATTAAGCATATCTGGATTAGTTAACAACAGGAAAATTATTAAATTTCAATTTCCTAATCTGTAAAATGGTGATTAGCATCTTCCTCATAGTGTCAAATTTTAAAAAATATAAAATGACTATACAGAACCTGGAATGTATAAAACTAGAGTTAGTTAAAAATATGCATTCTAAAATTTAAACTTTGAGCTTATAAAATATGACAGCCGATTAATTCTTGCTTCTTCAATCAACTTCTTATGCACAAAAAACAAAATATAAGAAGAATGTAAAAATAATGGCATAAATCCTTGCCCTCGAATAGCTTTTTACTGATTACAAAAGTATGATGGAAGTAACAAGAACTGGAAAACATCCTGAAATACAATAGTGATTATCTAGTATAAATGCATAATCTCTTTAAAGTCCCTCCTTACTTTCCTTTCTATAAATACTACCCTAATCCAGGTCCAAATCATCTAAAGACTAGATTACTGTCCAGGTCAGCACTGTTCAACAGAAATATAATACTAGCCACATATGTAAATTTATATTTTCGAGCAGCCACATTAAAAATGTAAAAAGACAGTTAAGAAAAAATTTCACTAATATATTTTTATTTAAATATATCAAAAACAGTTTCATTTCAACATGAAACTGACATTTAAAAATTATTACTGAGATATTTTACATTTATTGTTTTCAAAGTAAGATTTCAAAATCCAACATACAGTTTACATTTATGACACATCAACTAGAACTAACTCCACTTTAAGAGTTCAACAGCCACATGACCTAGTAGCCACTATATAGAACAGCATAGGTCTAGACTACTTTAAAAAACAAATTTTCAAAAAATAAAATCCATGATATTAATAAACATATTTTTAAACTTCACTCATTAATAATGAAAAATGTACAAATTAAAAGATACTATTTTCACCCACCAAACTGACAAAATGCTTTTTTTAAAGTGGTAACACTTCAAACAGATGAGAGGACAGTTGATGGTACAGCAAACCAAAACAGGGATTTACTGACTCAACAAATATGTAACCTGAGTTTAAGAAAAGGTTAGGGATACAGAGGTTAATAAACTAGATAAAGTTCCTTGTCTGTACACATATAACTTAAGTTCTGGAACACACTAAGCTATTCTCATACTTCCGATTAGTTTGTTACCCTTACTCTCAGATGTTTAAAGTCCTCGAAATCATGTCACATGCTATCATCCAACTATAAAATGTTATTTCAAACAGCTGGAGCTTTGACACATATATATGTTAATATTTCCTAAGTAACCTAACATTTCTTAAGCAAACTATTTATAAATCATTTAAAATCACAACTGAAGGAGTCATCTGAAATGCCCTCACATTTCTTTATCCAATCAACCATGTTAGCCTAAAAGTGTTATTTCAATAACAATTATATTTTACCTCTATTGAAGTATAAGTCATATAGAAAAATAAACATTCATGAAACACCACCCTAAAATCCCTATTTTTCCTCTCAGTCTTTATGCAGCACCATTAAAGGTAACACACAATCCTAACTTCAACCAGATTAAAATCTATAGATGTTTAATGGCATATATCCAGAATATAATATACTATAAGCCTCCTAAAAATCACAAAAAATAAACCAGTTTCTCAGGAAATTAATTGTATGACCCAATTAATTTTAAAATTTATAAATATATACATATTTCAAAAGCAAAATGAAATATAAATAAACTTTTTTTTTTTTTTTTGTTACGTACAGACGGGGCCTTGCTACTATTGCCGGGGTGGTCTTGAACTCCTGGCCTCAAGCAAACCTCCCAGGTCAGCCTCCCAAAGTGCCAGGATTAAAATGTTAGCCACCAAGCCTAGCCAAATTCAAATTATTAAAAGCTATTAATTTTGGCCAAGTACAGTGGCTCAAGCCTATAATCCCCAGCACTTTACGAAGCTGCGGTGGGAGGATCACCTAAGGTCAAGAATTCGAAACCAGCCTGGGCAACACTGCAGGATCTCCTCTCTACAAAAAAAATAAAAAGATTAGCTAGGAATGGTGGCTGGAGCATGTAGTCCCACCCAGCCACTTGGGAATCTGAAAGGAAGACTGCTTGAGCCCACGAGTGCAAAGCTGCAAGGAGCTGTGACCTTTCCACTGCCTACAGCCTGGGTGACAGAGGAAAGCCCTGACTCACAAAAAAAAATTCAGCCAGGTGTGGTGGCTCACACCTATAATTCCAGCACTTTGGGAGGTGGAGATGGAGGTGGAAGTGAGAGGACTGCCAAAGCCCAAGAGTTCAAGACCAGCCTCCTGGGCAACTTGGCAAGACCTAACTTCTACAATAAATCAAAACAATTAATTACCAGGCATGGTAATACATGTCTGTAGTTCCAGCTACTTCAAAGGCTGAGGTGGAAGTAACACCTGAATCAAGCAGATTGAGGCTGCGGTGACCACGAGCCTGCCACTGCATTCCAGTCTGGGTGACAGAGTGAGACTCTGACTCAAAAAAAAAAAAAATTCAAAATAGTAGTTCTATGGAAACTCAGATAACTACAAGGTAACACAGAAAAGCAACTGAAATTTAACAGAGATTTAAATTATGAAAAAAACTAAGCAGAAATCCTGGAATTGAAAAATACAAGCCAGACGCGGTGGCTCACGCCTGTAATCCCAACACTTTGGGAGGCTGAAGTGAGAGGAGAACCTGAACTCAGAAGTTCAAAACCAGCCTGAGCAACATGGCAAAACCTCATCTCTACAATAAATTAAAAAATCAGCCAGGTGTAGTGGTGCATGTCTGTGGTTCCGGCTACTTGGAAGGCTGAGGTGGAAAGATCACCTGAACCCAGCAGCTCAAAACTGCGATGATCATGAGCATGCCACTGCACTCCAACCTGGGGGACAATGAGATACTGACTCAAAAAAAAAAGAAAGAAAAAGAAAAATACATTTGCTGAACTGAAAAATAAATTACAAGCTCTCAACAGTAAAAAGCATCAAGCAGAAGAAAAAAAAAGTGAGCTTGAAGACACGCTACTTGAAAACACACAGAAAAGAAAAAAGAATGAAAAAAATAAAGTATACCTATAAGATATAGAGAATAACCTCAAAACAAAACTAAGAGTAATTGGTGTTCATAGAGTGGGAAAAGTGGAAAGCATAGAAAGCTGACTTAAAAAAATAATAGTTCCAATTAGTCCAAAAGCAAACTTCTCAGCACAAACCTTACAGGCAAAAAGGAAGTAGAAAAATATATTCAAAGTGCTAAAAGGGAGAAAAATTGTCAGCCAAGAGTACTGTTCCCAGCAAAGCCTTCCTTCAAACATGAAGCAGAAATAAAGTCCTTCCCAGACAGAGTCTGAGGAAATTCATCACTACTACACCCATCTTACAAGAAATGCCAAAGAAAGCTTTTAAATCTGAAAGCAAGAGTGCTATCATGCAAAAAGAAAATATCTGACGTATAAAATTCACAAGTAAACATTAAGTACACAAAATCAGAATACTCATACTGTAATGTTAAGGTATAAAATCCACTCATATCTCTTATAAAAATTAATAGGTAAATCTACCAAAAATAACTGCAGCAACCTGTTAGGTGATAGGCAATATAGCAAGATGATAATTGAGACAACAAAAAGGCAAAATGTAAAGGAGATACAGCTACAGACTATAGTTTTTTAGCGTTTCTGTTTCCCTGCTTTGTAATCAAAGTTGTCATCCAAGAGCAATGGCTCACGCCTATGATTCCCAGGATTTTAGGAGGCTTAAGTGGAAGGATTGCTTGAGCCCAAAAGTTCAAGACCAGTCTGAGCAACATAGTGAGACCCCATCTCTACAAATAAATAAATTAGCCAGGCGTGATGGTACATGCCTACAGTCCCAGGTACTTGGGAGGCTGAGGCAGAAGGATCATCTGAACCCAGGAAGTGAGGCTGAGGTGAGCTGTGATCATGCCACTGTACTACAGCCAGGACAACAGAGTGAGACCCCGATTTGGAAACATTACAAAAAAACTATACATAAGACAAACTAGACCTGACACTTAACAGAACATTTTATTCAACTGCTGCACAGTACACATTCTTCTCATCAGCATATGAAGCATTCTTCAGAAAAGACTATATATTAGAACACAAAGCAAATATCAACAAATTCAAAAAAGTTGAAGTCCTATCAATTATATTTTCTGATCACATGGAATAACACTATAAATCAATAACAATGTTGGAAGTGAGGGCCAAAGGGAGGTCCAAATTTTACCTGTACAATGGCCACTTGTATACCTAGTCCTGAATTGTACCTCCACATTCTTAAAAAAAAAAATTTTTTAAGTTGGACACTATATAAACACATGGAAATTTAAAATTTCGTTCCTCGATGAACAATGGATTAATGAAGAAATTAAGGTGGAAAATTTAACATTTGTTGCAAAAAATGAAAATATCTACAGACACAGCAAAAGCAATATTAAGATGGAGATTTATAACAATAAATGCCACATCAAAAGTAGAAAGATTTCAAATAAACAGCCTAATGATGCACCTCAAGGAACTAGAAAAAAACAAACCAAACTCAAAAGTAGTAGGAGAAAAAAATAATAAAGATCTGGGCAAAAATAAATGAAATGGAAACTAAAGCCGGGCTCAGTGGCTCAGCCTGTAATCCCGCGCCTTTGGGAGG